ATGTAGTGGCTGATGTGGTGAAAGCACTGGTATGGATGTGTGTGTGCAGAGCTGACAGTGGGGCTGATTTGCAGGGATGGGTTCCAGGGTGATTATGATGTAGCTGTGTTGTGTGGTTACCGGATAGGTTGTAGATTGTTGATAATGCATTGGAAGGCTTTAAGTTGTGGACTGTAGGTGATAAGTGGAATTCTGTTGTTTTCTCTTCTGGGCCTGTCTTGAAATAATTCATGTCTGGGTACAGTTTTAAGATTGCTCTATCTATATAGATCCTGTAGGTGTTTGTCTCTGTCTGTGGGTTGGAGCAAATACAGTTGTATCTATGGGCAGAGCTGTATACAATAAATTGGGAAATATGTCTGGGATGGAATTTAGAGGCATGAAGATAAGTCTAGAGGTTGGTAGGTTTCTGGTAGAGGGTGGTGGAAATTTGTCCATAATTTAAATAGTACTGTAGTGTCAAGGAAGTGGATTTCTTGTGTGGACTCATCCAGGCTGAGGTTGATGGTGGGGTGGAAGTTGTTGAAATCCCTGTGAAAATCCTTAAGGGTTTCTTCCCATGTGTCCACAGGATGAAGATGTCGTCAATGTAGCATAAGTAGAGTAAGGATATGTCTAAACTACATCTCTCTTTCAAAAGAGGGATGTAAATTAGATTGAAAGGGCAAATGAAGCGAGAATTTGAATTTCCCGTGCTTCATTTGCATAATCGCATCACAGCGATTTTTCGAAAAAGGCTATTTTGAAAGTGAAACCACTGCCTAGATGTGGTTCTTTCAAAAAAAAAAACCAAAACCTTTTTCATAAGATCCTGTACTCCTCAAAAAATAGAGTACAGGATCTTTCGAAAAGGGGTTATTTTGTTTGTTTGTTTGTTTGTTTGTTTGTTTGTTTGTTTGTTTTTTGAAAGAACCACATCTAGACATTGGTTTTACTTTTGAAATAGCGTTTTTCAAAAGATTGCCGTGACATGATTATGCAAATGAAGTGCGGGAAATTCAAACCTTGGCTTCATTTGCACTTTCAATCTGTCTAATTCACATCTCTCTTTCAAAAGAGGGATGTAGTTTAGACTTATCCTAACAGTGCTAGGGGGCGAGACCTGAGGAAACGTTGTTCAGGGTCAGCTATAAAGTCACTGGCAAAAAATTAATGGACACAAATCAGATATCCAAAAAGGCAACACACAAAAACCTGTCGGAGAACACTTTAATCTTCCTGGACACGCATTAATGGATCTTCTAGTTGCTGTTTTGTTTCAGACTAATTCCACAAGCCAAATACACAGAGAAGGACTGGAACGTCATTTTATTCACAAATTTAATTCTTATGCTGATAGTCTAAACAGGGATACTGGATGGTTCTCATACTATCTTCCACCTTTTAATAACTTAACCAAACAAACAAACAATGGAGATGCTAATGGTTTTTAACAGACTCCTGTAACTACTTGAATTATCTACTCATTATCTACATGTTTTGTTAGTCTTTCAAGTGCTACTAGACTACAGTTGTTTTTTAAGTTTTATCCACTCACTGTCTCTCTCTTGCTTCTTATCGTCCCCTTTTTCTTCCCTCCCCCTCCCTTCCCTTATTTATCCTTGTATCTGGATTCATTATACTCTGGTCATCTGAAGAAGTGGGTTTTGCCCACGAAAGCTCATGACACCATCTACATGTTTTGTTAGTCTTTGAAGTGCTACCAGACTATTTGTTTTTTTTTTAAGTTTTTCCTGTATTAACATAGACAAACACAAGGTCTCTCCCCACTTCCAACTAATTATAAGGGATACACTCCTTCAGATCCTGCTTACACCAGTATGATGGAAGAGCTAGGCCTTAAAACCAAACATAAGAACATAACATAAGAACAGTCGTGCTGGGTCAGACCAAAGGTCCATCTAGCCCAGTAGCCTATCTGCTGACAGTGGCCATCTCCAGATGCCCCAGAGAGGGCGGACCGAAGACAATGATCAAGTGATTTGTCTCCTGTCATCCTTCTCCAGCCTCTGACAATCAGAGGCCAAGGACACCATTTCTATCCCCTGGCTAATTGCCTTTTATGGACCTAACCTCCATGAAATTATCTAGCTTCTCTTTAAACTCTGTTATAGT